GGGTTACACTCAGGTAAGTTGATTAGTATGCATGATTAAAAAATAATTAGAATTGTTTTTGTTTTAAAACTTTTATTGTCATAATTTCTACAGAATTTTATCACATTTCACAAAAAATGCAGACTGTAAGTTAAACTGTACAATAGGAATAGTACAATACACAAGTTTTAAAAATAAAAGAAAGTAAAGAAAAAAGCCTTCTGTAGAGAAACAAACCCTATATACTGTTTTACCTTTTCAAAACAGTTCTTAAAAGTCATAGAYAAATCATTTAAAGCACCTCATTTCACTGATTTAAAAAGCATTTAATTATTTCTAATAGTGTTTTATATACAATAGATTAAGTTTTCATGATTATCACAGTTAGCCCACACAGTTAAAGTTTGAAGTCAGTTGATCATTTGAAACACCTAATTTCACCAGAATCAACATATAAAATTAAAGATCTCAAGTTACATTTGATGAAAAAATCATTCATTATTTCTAATAGTGTTTTATATACAGTAGATTAAGTTTTCATGATTATCACAGTTAGCCCACACAGTTTCCTAAATAAAAAGGCTTGTGTTGTTCATTCATTTTTGCATGGAATTAATATTTACTGACAATAAAATTATCTTGCTACAATAATATCCTTATAACCTTGTTATAAGAAGTGTAGGTGTGAATCCTACAAAACAAACCCTGATTATCACCTTTTAAAGACTGCTTTTAAATCAGTTGATCATTTGAAACACCTAATTTCACCATAATCAACATATAAAATTAAAGATTTTAAGTTACATTTGATGAAAAAATCATTCAATATTTCTAATACTGTTTTATATACAGTAGATTAAGTTTTCATGATTATCACATTTAGCCCACACAGTTGCCTAAATCAAAAGGCTGAGAAAAAGATTAACTGAAGAGTCTGTCATGATTGACAGTTTGTTCTGTTCTTAAATATTCTACTAAAAMAGCAGCTAATTCCAGCTGTGAGTTAATCAAGCTTCATCTCTTCAGCTGGAAATTAGCTCATTCTTTCACAATGTTAAACTTTGGAACACGACTCAGGTCCATGAAGGTCTGCAGCCAGTAGGTCAGTCAGGATCACCATGAAAATATCTGAAAAGATAATTCAACTTAGTATACACACTCAAAAATAAAAATCAACACATCACTTCACTCTAAATGTCTTACCTATTTACTCCAGCCCATGCTGATGTAAGCTGATTCTCCCTTGCTGTAAGTGGATCTGGCAAACCTACGTCTTCTTTTACCTGAGGAGCACACCTGAAAGACAAACACAGAAAAATTAAGTCCAAAGTAGTCAGTGGTGATTCTGTAAAAACTTATAGTCCAGTCTAAAGAACAGTGTTTCAGACGTACCGGTACACAGTTGTGTTTCTTTGTGAGACACAGCTCGAGCTGGCAGTGCATATAGATTTTATCAGGATGTCTGGAAAACTCAAACATGTTGAAGGAGAAGCGGTTGGAAGTTCCTATTCCATTTCCTGTCACCTGAACTGTCTCATCTTCAGGGCTGGCACAGCTGAAAGAAGAATAGCAGTTTTTAAGTTAAATCAGAACAGTTTGAAAGAATCCTGGTGTCATTCAGCACATTTATGAGCATCTCTCACCCGTCTATGATCATGTCATATCTGGGCGTGCTGTCAGGGTTCGGGTCACTGGTTGCCCAGCATGAGTCGGTCACCACAGCGATGCTGTCATCATCCAGCCCATAGGTCTTCAGCTCCACCCAGACCTTCTGGTTGAGCTTCACATCAGTTTCTGTWGCTACARCTTTMGAGCATTTTGCATCWATATAGGGCGTCATGTACACAGTGTAATTCCATTCTCCACATGATCTGTTGCCCACGTAGCTGCAGAACAAAAAACAATCASACCTTAGCTCCTTCAAATCACCAATCAGCTGACAGGYTGTGTATGATGATAAAAACTACCAGTCAGTACCTGTTRTCTTTGATCCTGAAGCACACRCTCTTCWGTTCAGGTTGAGGACGATAGCAGGAGAACTCAATGAACACTTGGTCATTGCGGGTGATGAGGCCGGTGTTGTTCTGACTTATGATGGTGTTTACATAGTCTATTKTGTTTTCTTCATACTGTAAAATCACACATTCACATGTTGAACACTTAAACAGTAACTGTCTGTAGTGAACTTAAACCAAATCAAGAAAACAATCCGTTCTACAGCAGATCAACAGAAGCTCTGCAGAGTTCCGCACAAGATTTATTTTTACTTGTTCAGTTGGAAGTGAGAACCCACCGAGATCTCTGCTCCACAGAGGTTTTGGGTGTTGAAGCTGAAAGTCACCATGTTGGTCTKGTTGTCSAGGGCACCCTTRCAGGTYGGGTCATTRAGATKTAAGWCTTTGTAGTCGATGCATTTTTCCTCCAGGAGACATTTAGCAAGAGTGACTGAAGCAGTATTATGCTTACAGACAGTTGGTTCACCTACAAATTTCCAAGTATTTATGAAAAGAAACACCACTTAGATGTATTCCTGCATTAAATCTGTCATATTTATATTACAGATGTCGTACCCAGAGTGTTGGACTTCTTATACTTGTAGGCAAACAGAGCTCTGCAAAGACAGGCAGGTTGTCCATTGATGTTCCATCCACAGAACTCATGGTCACTACAGAGTTTGTCCATGCAAAATGCCTTAGGTGGGGCTACAGAGGAACACAATGATTTATTATCCAGAAAACATCTGAGCTTTATAAACATTGTGCCTCAGTTCACTAAGACTTACTGCAGTCAGCCTGGGTCCACCAGTCTCCCAGGTCATTGTTGCCATACAARCTGCAGGCTCTGGCRTAGGCCCACAGGAACTGAGTCATGAGGCCGTCCTCTGATGGATATTTGCACAWAGTTTCCTTGCAGGCATTGATGTATGGTGTTGGGTCAATGTTGGCATTATAGGAGKCGAAGGGTGCTTTTGTCAACATGTTACAGCTAAACCACAAAAAACATGAAGGACAAAWYATTATTCTTCCAMYCTGTGCTCACAACATGTGRTATGTTGTKTAGCATGTTTTCATGTTAAAGTATAACACTGTGAGATATTCTCTACTGTGGATRAAGCCACTCACTGTTCAGTCGCCTTGGTGCAGTTGACACAACTGTCAGGATCATCRTAGTACTGAACGTYRCAGCTRGKGGTGACAAATACCTAAGTCAGGATCATTTTCTGTGCTATGACTTACTCATTAAACACACTAGGCTTGATYTCAWTGAAAAAAATGGTTTRWGAAGAYAGTTGGARCAAAAATRCTTCRTAATATATAGYATATGTCACTAATCAAGAGCCGTAGAGAATAAGACAGTCAAACAAAGAGTTTGTAATACCTGGGTGGGCTGTAGTCAATAAGTTTTGAATATGAAGTACTGCTGGAGTCAACACACAAACCCTCTATGTAATATCCATAAGGWGCTGAAAGGTTTCAGGACAGAATGTAAGTTAGAACAGAGTTCAGGCTCAATCAGGATCAACACAAAYACAGGCTCMTAATCAATGGTACARTWGAAACAACTGTATCCAGTGRWGCCCYRGACTTTTTTTACAGGGTACCCATGTGGGGGCTCTGCAAAGTTCTTGATTGCACCCCAAAGCCAATAGCAAGAACGGAATTTGAGGAGGTCTATTACATTGTTGTTAAAAACAGTGATTTGAAATGTTTAGCATAATGTTAATTATCTGTCAAATAATGTTTTTCAGTTTCTTATTTTAAAGGTAATATTGATTATGTGACGAACAAGAAGTAGAAAAGCTAACATTTCCACTTTGTAACTTTTCATGTGTTCCTGTTTATTTTTGTAAAAAGTGTTTATTTTCAATGTCTATAACTGGGAATTAAAATACAAAAAAGACAACATTATATTTGTAATATATATATATACAAATATTTCTGACCAGAGTGGGAGAAATATATATATATATATATACAAAAATGTCTGACCAGAGTGGGAGAAGCTACAACCAGATATAAGATAGAAATTTGGAAAAGTGGTTCATCTTGACTATTTTATTTTTCTACCATATTTAAATATCGATAAAAATAGTATGTTAAATTGTTTAAATCCTTTATGATGACATCAAAGACAATACTTCTCTTACTCTCCATGTAGATCTGTGCTGTGTGGCAATCCAAGAATACAGAAATGCTGCAATGCGAAACCTCAAATGTTGCTGTGACTCCATTTTCATCCTTGGATATCGTAACACCATTAAAATCCTGCACGGAGCTGCTGAGGGTCACCACATTATTGTTTATCTGCATTAGAGAGAGAAGAGATRGAGAAAGCAAATACTGAATGAAACATCTTAAACACTCAAAAAATACAGTTGATTTCATTCACAACATTCAGGTTTAATATTCTACCACTAATCTCAGAGGAATCTGGAAACAAAAACCTGTAGGCTGGTGGATTAAAGAAAACTTTACTGTGATGTCTTGTATGTAAATGTGGACAACTTACCAGGACTCTGCCTCCTATTTCCAGCTGAATGGAAACACCCAACTTCTTCAGCCACAAGGTTACACTGACCAAAAAGCTGACATCTCTACGACGGTGTTCCCCAAAGTTGGCAAAMAGGTCGTAMCCATTGTATGRATCCGATAATAGAGAGTACGCACAACGATCCGGCACATAGTTAAGTTGACCATAAAAGTCAATGATGGTGGGGCCAGTCACAGTGCAGATTTTATGGGATTTCGGTGGTGAAGTTGTTGTAATTCGTGGTGTTGTAGTTGTTGTAAGTGGTGTTGTAGTTGTTATAGATGGTGTTGTAGTTGTTGTAGGCGGTGTTGTAGTTGTTGTTGTTTGTGTTGTAGTTGTTGTAGGTGGTGTTGTAGTTGTTGTTGGTGATGTTGTAGTTGTTGTAGGTGGTGTTGTAGTTGTTGTAGGTGGTGTTGTAGTTGTTGTTGGTGGTGTTATAGTTGTTGTAGATGGTGTTGTAGTTGTTGTAGGTGGTGTTGTAGTTGTTATTGTTTGTGTTGTAGTTGTTGTAGGTGGTGTTGTAGTTGTTGTTGGTGGTGTTGTAGTTGTTGTAGGTGGTGTTGTAGTTGTTGTAGGTGGTGTTGTAGTTGTTGTA